ATTCCTGGACACTTCATAGGACACACCCTACCAATACTCCAAGAGTACCATACCATGTTTGATGGGATTCAAAGTAGGAGGCAACCAATCTTAGAGGGAAAAAGATTTTTTACAGATCACGATCACGATCATCCTGCTGTTCCTCGATTGCCTCAAGCAAGCACCGGTAACATCTCCTTCTACCCAGCCCTGAGATTTTAAAAGAGCCATATTCAATGCTCTTTAAGGTTTAGAATGAGATCCATCATTATTACTGGTATTTGGCATGAGTATGACATGGAAAGTTTGCCAGACTCTGCCGTGTGGGTAGGATACTTTCGGTAGCCTGACAGGTTCATCTTATTTTTATAGATACACACACACACACACACACACACACACACACACACACACACACGGCTCAACCTTTAACAACATGCTAGTGATCTCTTAGAGAAGAGTTTCATGGCCACTGTGTCAACTACAACAATCTTCACACTCTTTCCTCTAAGGATACTTTTTGTAGCATTTTCAGTATTTTCTTCATATAATACAAAATATATTATTTTGGTTCCACTTTGGGGCAGGGGTTGAGGTTCCAGATAGAAACATCCAAAATATGGTGGTGGGAAGGTGTCATGGCAGTGGTAACTGGTGTTTGAATATTCACTGTATCACTGTCATCCCATTGTTCATCGATTTACTCGAGCGGGTGCCAGTAACGTCTCCATCTGTCCCAGCCCTGAGATTTTAGCAGCCTCTCCTTACTCATCTTTCCCAATGCTGCTGTATTGGAGGCTCTTTCAGGGTCAGGAGAATGAGAACCATTATTGTTACTGTTTTTGGCACATCAAATATGCCATGGGTAGCTTGCAGGCTCTGCCGTGAAATTTGCTATAGCATTGCCATATTCACTAAATTTGTGCCAGTCAACCAAAACAGAAACACCCTAAAATAGGTGTGCCAAAGGTCACCAAACTTGCCATGTCATCACCAAATTCACCACACCGTCACCAAGATTTGTCAAACTTGTGCCATGATTTCATTACATCCCTGACATCACATTACCGCCACCACCACCACCAAAATGACAGCGTCAGACCATGATCACCAGATCACCGACACGAGCTGATTGACAGAGCAGCCCCACCAGCACTGTCCGCATCACCATGTCACCATCACCACCGCAATTACATCCCCAACAGTGCGTCCATTTCCACCACCACCACCACCACCACCACCATCACAGTCTTAGCACCACTAAAGCATCATTACCACAGCACCATACAACAGCGATTCCTGAGACCATCACCATCGCCACAATTGTCAGAACTGCCATCGCTGCCTTAATAACTGCCACCAGTGTCGTTCTCCCCGGCTTCGCCTGTCCCAATGCCTCCCATGAGTGTGAATGATGTGCTTTGGGGGGTGGTGGGGGTGCCTCCCCCTGTGATGGAGCATCGCTGTGCCGAGACGGGCGCCTGTGTGTCTGGGACGTCCCTGCCTCCTGCTAGGCATGGGCACTCTGAGCTGAGGGTGCTGGCGAAGGTCCGTTTTCCTGCTGTCGAGGGTCCCTGACTGGGAAAGCTTCAGGGAGTCCGTTTTTCTGACAATCACTGATGACAGTCAGGTGCTTGCTGGGTTCCAGAACTCTCAATGCTGGCCAGGCCATGGTCACTCTGCACCGCTCCTGAGTGATTCCCTCCCGGGGCTCCTCTGCCCCTATAAACTAGTTGTAGATGCACCAGGCCTTCTGCGCCAAATCAAATATTGTGAACTAATTTATAAAATAAAAATATTTTTTTAAGTAAGGCCCTCCCGTTGATCGTCGATTTGCTCGAGCGGGCCCAGTAACGTCTCCATTGGAGACTTTGTTGTTACTGTGTCTGGCATATCAAATACTCTCGGTAGCTTGCCGGGCTCTCCGAGAGGGGCGGAGGAATCGAACTCGGGTCGGCCATGTTGGCCGCTTGTAAGGCGAACGCCCTACCCGCTGTGCTATCGCTCCCATGCAGCAGTGTGGAAAATACTTAAGACAATGGCAAAAAAACAGACAATTGTGTACAAATAGAATTAGATGGGGGAAGGACATAATTGGAATTTCTTGGTGAACTTTATGTATTATATATGCACATGCTGAGTTTTAATTATATATACATGAAATATATATAATACAATGTTATTTCGTTAGAAAGTTTAAGTGTGATAAGACTTACCTTAAGCAAAAAAAAAGGAAAGAAAGAAAAGAACTGCTTCAGAAAATATGGACTAAATATAATATATATATGATAAATATATTCACGCAAGAATAAAGTCCCATGGAACCCAGATAATGTGGAACTTTGTGACCTTGGACTCTGGACTCAACAGGATCTGGAACAGAAATCCTCTGCCTGCTTCCCCCAGTCTCTGGTGACTCAGGGATCACACCCATAAGCCACACCCTGCAGGCAACAGATAATCTCATCGGCCACCCTCCAGAACTCATGGATACCCCTCCCAGACAGGAGTATAAAAGGAGACTCCCAGAACCATGCCACTGGACTCCATGCCAGGCTGTGGGGTGGGTGGGAGCCCTCACCAGCCCAAGGGACCCAGCCCCTGCAGCTGATCTCCACTGCCCAACCACTGCCACACTCCAGGCTGCTTTCCAGACGCCATGTGTCACATTATAAGACATTTCCTACCCATATAAGTGGGAGAGCCCGGCAAGCTACCGAGAGTATCACGCTTGCATGGGCAGAGTCTGGCAAGCTCCCCATGGCGTATTTGATATGCCAAATACAGTAATGACAAGTCTCATTCCTCCCCCCCCCCCCCCCGACCCTGAAAGAGCCTCCAATCGTTGGGAAAAGACGAGTAAGAAGAGGCTGCTAAAATCTCAGGGCTGGGAGGAATAGAGATGTTACTGGCGCCCGCTCGAGTAATTCGATGATCAATGGGATGACAGTGACACAGTGATACAGTTTTATATATATATATATATATAGTTACATAGGTATTTTTATTCTTGAAATTTTCTTCAAGAATCTTAAAAATGAAAGAATCTTTAAAAAAAGAGAGAGAGAGAGAGAGACAAAGGGTAGGAATCTTTGTTCTCCTCAGGAGATTATTGGAGAATAGGCACACAGACTTGAGTATTGCTGTGACCCTGGTTTTAAGTAAAATAACTATATTTCTATTTATTGGATATTTCCACTATAATTAACCTAAGACAGTAGAGTATGATGAGAATTAATTTTATAAAATTTTACTGCTTCTGAGAAAAAGTTCATTATTAGGATAGTATTATTTCAGAATTTCTTTCTATTTAATGATTTTTTAAAACATATTATATTTAGAGAAAAAAAATCCAGAAGAGTATAAAAAATCCCTGTAATTATTACAATGGTTTTAATTCCATTACATTTTCTCTGCTATATTTTCTCCCTGTAATCATTCAATTATTTGCCTGTGTCTGGTTTTGAACCCTATTTGAGCACTGCAGACATGCCTACGTGCAGCAGTGTGCACGTGCTTCTCCTCCCCACAAGTTTCCCCTACATAGACATTATACAACACCATTAGAATCAAGAAATCAACTTGAGTGACTGGAGCGATAGCACAGCCGGTAGGGCATTTGCCTTGCGTGCGGCTGACCCGGGTTCAATTCCCAGCATCCCATATAGTCCCCCGAGCACCACTAGGAGTAATTCCTGAGTGCAGAGCCAGGAATAACCCCTGAGCATAGCCAGGTGAAACCCCAAAAGAAAAAAAAAACAACAACTTGATAACTTGATAAAATATTAGCACCCAAGCACATAAACCGTTCAAACTTTCCAGCTCTCTCAATATTACCTTTTCCACTCAGGCTCATATTTTCATCTAGGATTATATATTGTATTGTGCCTTATCGTCTCCTTCATTAGGAACAACTCCTCATTCTAGCCCTGTGTCTCACCTTCTTGACAGTCATGGATGAAACTGCTGGTTCCTCAGGAAAGACTTGGGTTATGCAGACATAATGCTGTGCTCAGAGCTCAAAGCTCTACCCTGTTCCTGCTCCCACACACAGGGCATCATCTCGGACACCTTAGTGTTTGCGGCCTTCTCCACTCCAAAGGTACGATGGCCTCATTTATTGATCAGTGTTTTGTGGAAGATGGTCTGAGATTGCAACAGATACCCTTTATCCTTCAAATTCTACCCACCAGTCACAGCATTCAGTCATGACCTAGACCTGAATCACCACTCTCTGAGGGGTTTCAAATGATGATTTTCTAATTTCTAATCAACTCTATTACATGCAATTGCTAACATTGTCTTCTACTCCAAGGCAGGAACTTCCTCTTTCTTTACTTACTGCCTGTTTAGTTCAGTGAGCTATAATGTATGATTACCATAATTTATGTATTTTTTAAAAATTTGTATTAGTGAGAACCATGAAGTAGTACAGTTGTAGACTTAAAAATTTTGTGCTTGGGTTTCAATTATACAATGATCAAATACCCATCCTTCCAAATCCATAATTTATCTTTAAGTTCAAAAAACATTACTAGTGTAGGTTTCATCCATCTCAGTCCTCTTTTTCAGACACTTTCTTTTTTTTTTTCAAATTTTACTCTCATTCCTTTATTATATTCATTATACATGAGATTTACCTTTCTCATGGAGAAAACCCAAACATAACCCTTAGTATAGTTCATCTTCTAGTCTTGTAACAGTGTTTTTTGTGGGGTAGGCTGGGGGGTGTGCATAGTGGTGATGGATTTGGAGACACACTTAGCCATGCTCAGGAGTTTGTCCTGACTCTGCACTTAGAAATTACTCCTGGTGAACTCGGAGGGCCATATGGTATGCTGGGGATCAAACCCCAGTCAACTGCCATGCAAGGACCTATCAGCTGTACTATTTCTTCTGCCCCACTTGCAACAGTTTTTTAAAAATTTATTAACAATTGGGTAATTTATATGGGGAGAGAAATAGCAAGAGATTATAAAGTGTCGATCGTATACTTCAAGAGCTATGATCTTTGATCTTTGACCCATTGTTCAATCTATGCCATTATCTTGTTGATATTATTCTCTAGATCATCTGGACTTGCTGAGCAGCTGATGCACTATTTCTTCATTGTAGGATGTTAAGGCTTCTTCATAAAGAACTTGAAAAATTTCACACTGAATGTTCTCTTTCAGTTTCTTCTCACTATAACCCCTTGTTTCAAGTCTTTTGTACAACACTGTGTTATCTATTCTTAACACAAAAACGACATGAAACCAGCTTTCTGGGAAGAAATCACAACCGAGGCAATCCACAATAACTCCACCTTCACTCATTTGATTTTCCAACTCATCAATCACTTTATCGTCATCAAAAATGGAGCACTCATACTCTTCATCATAGCCATCAAACAACTGCCCTTCTTGGGCTAAATCACCCACATTAACGTATTTCAGTCCTGCTCTTGGTGCAAGTTCTTTGCCCAGCGTGGTTTTTCCAACACCTGGTGTACCCGTGAGCAGGATGTTCGGCAGCAACATGGTCCTCACCACGACAGCTCCCCGGGTGGGCTCAGACACTCTTAAGTAAGTTTTTTTTTTTAAAAAAAAACTCAACATTTTTATTCTTGTTCTCTACAAAATAAAAAATAGACATAGAAGTTCAATTTACTAATATTCGTTGAGGGGAAATTTTGGTTGAAATGCAAATTTGGGGATGATAAACTGATGAATTTTCTAATTTATACTTTAGGTATCTTAGTCACCGAAAGTTCTTTTAGATTGATATAATTTGATATTTGGGTAATTGGCAGCCTGGACAATATAAAGACCAGCTGTATATCCACCAGCAATGTGTCTTGAAAATGATGGTACAGCCAAGATGGTACAGCAAGTGGATTACATTTTCTGAACCAGAATTAGGATAATCTCATGAGACCCAAGTCCTTCCGACCCCTTTGTCCTTGCAAAATGTAGGGACAGACAGAGTTCATGGGCTGCTTATTCCTTTGGGAAACTATTCTCTCTCTCTCTTTTGGGTAACTGCACATAGGTATGGTACCAGGAGACTATTGGCATAACTTAATAAGCTGATTTCATAACTATTTTTAGCTTTACTATGTCAAATACTATTCTGTGTGTCTGAGATTTAAAAAAAGTGAGCAAACACTGATTTTAAATCTGATTTTATGGGTATTGAGAAAGTCATCAAGTTAAGGCACAGTGTGTCAGCTGGTGACACATCGCTGGAGACACTAATGGATTAAAGAGAGGGACTTTGTGTGAGCAGGCAGGTGTTAGGGAGTGTTTCAGCTACTATTGGGAAATATGAGGACAGAGTCCCGCTTACCCAGGATCATCTGAGGAGAGGCTAGAGAGATGATCTGGTGGAGTAGTATTCCAGGAAAAGCACCAGTCCAGACAGAGTACCTAATGCATGCAAAGTGCAGAAGAGTTTCTAGGATGAAGCAAAAGTGAAAAATTTCACAAGATGAAAATGATGATGGAATAAGTATGGCAGGTCATGGAAGCCACTTTAAGGCTTTAAATCATAGTGAAAAGGTTCATCCTGAAGACTCAGGGCATCTGACTTTAAAAGAGAGTTGGAGGTTATATTAAAATTTGGTTTTAGGGGTTGAAGAGGTAGTGTGCAGATAGAATGTTTGTCTTGCATAAGACTGTTCCAGTTTCTACCTCTGCCACTGTGTGTGGTCTCCTGAGCACTACCAAGACTGGCCCTTGAGTGCAGAGACAAGATTTATCCCTGAGCAATGCCAGATGTGATCCAAAAAATGAAAAATATTAAAAAAGAAAAGAATTATTTATTTAAAAGTTTTGAAATACAGCTTACAGACAGGGCACATGCTTTGCATGTGTAAGGCCCTGAGTTAAATCCCTGGCTCTCTCCCCACAAAAGAGTAGAATTGGGAAGATAAAATGGCGCTTAGGAACTATGGTACTAATCTGATGAGCAGTTATGGTTTCTTGGGTCAGCATATTAATGGTGGTGGTGATGAGAAAAGCTTAAATTCCATGTGTATTTTCAATGTGGACACAAAAAGCTTTGCCATCTTTGCTAATGTGCTGAAGGCAGTATATGAGAGGAAGACAAGACTTGGTATCTGTTTACCTCAGACAATAGAAGGATGGAGTATCTCGGTATCATTCCTGAGATGAGAGACTTTAAGATAAATGTTGCTAGATGGGTTCTTCCTGGACAAAATGCCTACCTAACTTCAAATAGAGGACTGTTGATTTAGGAAGGAGGTTGAACTGAAAATAGATACAGATAGAGTTAGAGTCAAAAGTATACACACATGTGTGTGTGTATAAATAGATATATATACATGTGTGTATATATGTGTCTGTGTGTCTGTGTACATATGTCTATATGTGTACATGCACAAACGCTGGCCGACTTTGACCGTGAGTGTGGAAAGGTAGGACTACAGCTGAATCTTACGAAGACAATGTTTATGAGAAACAGCCTTGTTCCTGACGCCCCATTTGCTCTCAATGGAACGACCATCTCTGAATGCAACAGCTATGTGTACCTAGGTCGAGAAGTCAACATGACAAATGACCTGGCACCCGAGCTGCACAGGAGGAAGAGAGCGGCTTGGAATGCCTTCAAGAACGTCGAAGAAATAACTAAGAGGACGAAGAACCTCCGGCTCCGGGCACATCTCTTTGATTTCACTGTTCTTCCTGCATTAACATATGCCTCAGAGACCTGGGCCCTACGCAAACAGGATGAGAACGCTATTTGGGTCTCCCAAAGAAGAATAGAAAGAGCTATGCTTGGAATATCATGTTTCACTCAATTGAGAGAAAAAATCCAGAGTTCCGACATCCGTCGACGATCAAGGATCAGGGACGCTGTCTCATTTGCCAAGGTGTCGAAAATCAGATGGACTGGTCACGTAATGAGATTTAAAGACGACCGCTGGACTAGAGCTGTTACCGACTGGATTCCACGGGATGTCAAAAGACCGCGTGGCCGCCCACCTACCAGATGGTCAGACTTCTTCCTGAAGATCATGAACGATCGGTTTGAGGCTCTTCATGTTCCCGGAGCGAACAGATGCCATTGGACTACACTAGCAGGCGACGGGGACAAATGGAGACGTTACTGGCGCCCGCTTGAGCAAATCGTCGACTAACGGGAAGTTAACTGATTAAGTGATTAAGTGAGACATAGATAAGATAGGCACAAACGTGCAGATAATAAATATATAGAGATTTGAAGATAGAGATATGGGTTTGGAGATATGGTTGACATTAAATGCCATGAGACTGAATGGAAGTAAATCGGTAGTTGCTGTAGCTAAGGGAAGAAAGCAGAGTTCAAGGCCACATTATGGAACGCGCAGACCTAAGGCTGAGTTTTTGGACATGCCAGTATTTGAGGTGGGGGAAGTGAGGAGACAGCTCAGAAGAGAGCACATGGAGGAGTGTGGGGGGAGGGGTGAAAGAGGACTGAGAGGATACAGTGGAGAGAGGGGGCAGAGGGCCTCTCAAGCAAGGAGTCATGTGACAGGTCAGGTATGACAGCAAGGAATTGAACTTGTATTTGGTGAAATGAAAGTCATGGATGACTTTGACAAGGAGAGAAAGTCCTTGTGAAAAAAGTCCCTGGTGGAAAAAGAGGAGAAAGGAAATGAAGACCCGCAGTACCACCAACATAAAGCAAACTCTGGGAAACATGTGCCAGCTCTTCCCCACATGCTTCACATAGTGTGAGCTCCATTCTCTTGCCAACTTAAGGAAGAGCAAAAGATTTCTCATTGGCTAGAAGAAAAAGAAATTCGAAACCAAAGGGTTGGTGATGCAGCAGAAGCTTGACATCCAGGTTATTGTACGTAGACAGCCTGAAAAAGAGACACTAATATCAGGTTGAATTGAAAGTACAGAATTTTATTTTATTATTTTTTAATTGAATCACCTTGAGATACAGCTACAAAGTTTTCATGTCTGAGTTGCAGTCAAACAATGATTGAACACCCATTCCTCCACCAGTGTACATTTTCCACCACCAATGCCCCCAATATCCCCCACTCCCCACAAGCCCTCATTCCCCTACCTCTATGGAAAACAATTTCTTTCTTATTCTCACTCTCTCTAAAAGGTACAGAATTTTAAAATGACTACTAGAAAGTCCACTAACAAGCCCTAAAATCTCCATATTGGCTGATTCCAATAAACATTTTTAGATTTTTTTTTAAAAATAAAGACTTAGTAAGTTCAGACAGGGCTGCTCCACTTCCACCATTAACCTTTTCCACAATTAGCTAAAGCCACTCTGGACCCCTGATTCCTGCTCCTTCTTTAAGACTTCTCTCCTTAGATCTGAGTTGTCTGTGTGAAGAAACAAAACAGAACCCAGCTGAAAATGCTGAATTATGTTCCTCCATGCAATGATAGATGAAACCAAGAACACCCTTCACCTAAGAAGCCTTCTACTCTGCTGAAATAGCATTACTTCATGCCACTTAGTAAATTAGGGCTTCCCTGGACTTTCCAGAGACTTGCTTAACCTTACTTAAAAAAAAAAAGTGGGAGGGGAGAGGAAAAAGTACAACAGACACAACCTTTTAGATCCAGAGCTTTTATTTTATTTATTTATCTATTTATTTTTTTAATTTTTATTAGTGAAACACCATGAGGTACAGTTGTAGACTTACAAATTTTTGTGTTTGGGTTTCAGTTATACAATGATCCAGTACCCATCCCTCCACCAGTGCCCATTCTCCATCATTTACTTTTTTTTTTAATTTTTGTTAGTGAAACACCATGAGGTACAGTTGTAGATTTACAAATTTTTGTGCTTGCGTTTCAATTCTACAATGATCAAACACCCATCCCTCCACCAGTGCCCATTTTTCACCACCAGGGGTCCCAGTATGCCTCCCACCTCCCATCCCCCCTTCCCACCCTGCCTCTGTGGCAGGGTATTCCCTTTTGTTCTCTCTCTCTCCTTTTGGGTGCTGTGGCCTGCAAGAGAGGCATTGAGTGGCAATCATGTTTGGTCTATAGTCTACTTTCAGCATGCTTCTCCCATCCTGGGAGGATCCTCCCAACACCCTTTATTTGGTGCTCCTTTCTCTATCTGAGCTCCCTTTTCCCCTAGAGTGTGTGGCTGGCCTCCAAGCCATGGAGCAAAACTCCTGGTACTAATCTCGGCCACTCTTGGGTGTTAGTCTCCTATTTTGTTACTTTATGTTTCCCAGATGAATGCAATCTTTCTATGTCTATCCCTCTCTCTCTGACTCATTTCGCTTAACATAATACTTTCCATGTAGTACCACTTGTATATAAATTTCATGACTTCATCTTTTCTAACAGCTACATAGTACTCCATTGTGTAGATGTACCAAAGTGTCTTTAGCCAGTCATCTGTTCTAGGGCAAAAAATATGGAACACTTCACGAATTTGCGTGTCATCCTTGCGCAGGGGCCATGCTAATCTCTGTATCGTTCCAATTTTAGTATATGTGCTGCCGAAGCGAGCACGATCCAGAGCTTTTAAATGTAGTTCAGTAGTTCAGAGATATGAATCAA